AAAATGCATACTAAAACAACACAGGTAACACCAGAGTACACACTGTTCCTGACTCCAATTATGTCTGTGTAACCTTGGCACTACGGGCTACGGGATGCAGCACGAGAGCATAATTTACGCAATAAAAGAAATTTGCGTTCCACTGTTTTGTAATAATGCAACTTTCATATAGGCTTTTATTTTGGAGTTGCACTGGCTGAGTCTGGATACAGTACATTCACATAACTTCATTTATCTGTTAGTCTGCTGGCTCGAATAATTATTTGCTAGGCTTCATTGTAGCTCAGCAACCCCTTAATTCACGTGCTCATCTTGGCATACATCTGGATTAGTTTTTGTTGTGCTATCTAGTAAGTTTAATTTGATAGTTTTATTGCTGAACTTGTGCCCATCCTGTGAGCTGTGCTCATATTTCAGAGGCATATAGTGAATCCAGGGAATGCGCACCAACATTTTGTTAGCTTTACAAATTAAATTTTGACATTTATGACGTAGCTACATAAATATTGCGTAGAAGTGGTGAGGGGGTTTGCTAATCGATGAGCTCAATCAGTTCAGGATGTCCCATAGCTCGATCGGTAGCGCACTCAGCTCAGCATACTGAGGTCCGCAGATTCGAGTCCCGGGTATTGCTGGAAAACATTAGGACGTGTTTCCATAAGACACCTGGTGTCAATGTTCACCCATCAGTATGAAATGGGTACCTGGGTGTTAGTCGACTGGTGTGGGTCGCATCCTGGGACAAAATTGACCTAATTTGCCCGAAATATTCAGCATAACAAGGGGCTTTCTATAGCATATGGCACAGATGTCAGCTATGGTCTGTATACCTTGTACTTGTAAAAATAGATTTATTACTGCTATTATGATGATGATAAAGCATGTGAATATTAATTTTCATAATCCTATATGTTTTTCCGAAATACAATCATTGCATTGCAGATAAATTAGGTGAGAATAAAATGAAGAATAACACTATGCTTTATTTCATGTAAACTAAGCAATAATTTTTGCAATAGAGATATCGATGTGCTGATTGTATTTTCACGGAAGTATATAATGCTGCTACACTACTAAATTGTTGTTCTCTAGTTAAAAATGGACTAAACAAAAATAATGTTAGTACTACAGATTAAAAAAATCTGTTAACTAGGAAAATCATGATTATTATTCTTAGCTTCAGGTCATAGCTATGTTCCGTCTTCACATCTTGATTACGACTGATCTGCAACAGTGGGCTAAAAATATTACTGTATCATTAGAGTAAAACTGTCGTGTGAGAGGTGTTGAAGGACTGACCCGGAGGACCTGCTTACTGTGGTGGACCTGCTTACTGTGGTGGACCTGCTTACTGTGGTGGACCTGCTTACTGTGGTGGACCTGCTTACTGTGGTGGACCTGCTTACTGTGCCGGACCTGCACTTGCAAATTCCCAATACTACTCACACAATAAATTCCTCTATATAATGTTTGTGTCTCTGAATCAGGCTGGTCTTATATTTTAATTTTATAACCATGAAAGGTATCAAAAATCTACAATCACTTTCATGATCTCTGTCACATTCCTGAGGAGCAGTTCCTTAGCAATGTGACTGTGAGATCATATAAACATTTGAAATTTAATTTCTTTCTTCATGGGTCATTGTTATTTTAAGATATCACGTTTTTTTATCTTTTTTTTTTTTTTTTTTGCCTCCCACGTCGCTTAAATTACTATTATTTTTAAGGTATTACGGGGGTCACTTTCTGTATTGTTTTCTGCAGAGGTGGGACCGCAATTCTCGTTAGAAAAAATACGATAGTTTTTAATTTTAAAATATATCTCTTCTTGGTCACTTTTTTTTCTGTGTGACCTGGTCAGCTGTTGACCCATCTCACCGGCCTTGTTGTTGGGTGGTTGTTGTGGTCGGGGTAGTAGTGGTGGTTGTGGTTGTAGTAGTAGTGGTTTCATCACACCTCTCCTGGCTTGGCCTCGGTCGCCTTTCCCTGCTCTTGTTCCTCCCTCTTCCTCTCTCCTGGCTTGGCCTCCGTCGCCTTTCCCTCTTCGGCTTGCACCTCCTCTCCTTGCTACGTTCTCCCTTCTGTAAGAACAAAACAAATATCTCTAATCATCATAAAAGCTTAAAAATTATACCACAACTGTTATTACAACAACAATTACTAATACTATTATTATTACATTAGACATATATAATATACAGACACGTAATTTACATAGAATAATCCATATATATAGAGGAAATAAGATATGAACATTACTTACTCAGATGATTGTTTCAGTCGAATTCGGATATTCTGTATTCATATGAGGAGACAGCGTCTCCAAGGATTTGTAAATATTTTAAGAAAGAACACTATATTTATTAATAATGGAAACAAATGTTTTATTACGATGGATCATGGCATCTGTCATGTGCACTTCTGGAAGGTGTCCGGCGAGCAGACTGCGAAAGAGAGTCAATAATAGCGGCTTCACAGCTAGTAAGTTTATTTAGGTACAAGTCCACATATGTACAGTTATACATAGTGTAAATTAACTAGGATAAACCCAAAAAAAGTCAAGACGATGACTTTTTTTCCATTGAGGTCCCTGTAACTTAACTGTGAAAATCAGGTACAATAAAAGGAGATAAAATACTAATAAGGTAAACTGAGTTATTTACATTAATATTAAAGAGAGCATCAGATTACAATAACAAATACACGAATGTTAACTATACAAGAATTCCCTTTCCCTCTCTGTACAATCAGTGACTACAGAATGTAAGTAAAATACACGAGGAGCCATTTTACAGTTAATTTCCTTTTTTTCATACTCTCCCAGTCACCTCCACCAGCCACTGCAGATTATCCTCAGAATCTCTTAAAAATTGTCATCGGCAAAGAACATTTGGGAGTATTTTCATTGTCTGCTACGTTTTAATCCCTCTTCTTCCCAACACACTAGCATTTACCTTTTGAGACAACGGTGTCTGAAACAGTAGGAAGTAATAATAATAATGATGATGATAATAATGGATCTAGTGCTGAATAAATGTTGATAAAAGTGTGGAAGCTCATCTTCTGTTGATCTAGTACGTGCGTAATTGTCTGTCTTGCTTGTACAACCAGAAATCTAGATACGTCAAACTCTCCTTTAATTCCCATGTATTAATAGATAGACTGTCTCATCATATTTTGTGTTAATCCAAGTAACTAATGTCACTCTTGCAATATATATTTTGAATTAAGTGAATAAATTTTAATAAAGTATAGGCTAAGTGACATGTATGATGTTATATATTGTCTGTTTACATAGTCATTTGAGTCAGAGTTATTGAATCTATTTTATTGTGTATATATTTAATATCTTATATGCATGCATATAAAATGTTATTGTCCTCTTAGCCTTAAGTTAGGTTTAAGCCTACCCAGGGGCTTTCCATGTCCTATATTAAATGCCATTGAATTTTGTACAAACGATATATCGTGTGGAAATAAAGAATTTTATTTTTTTAGTGTTAATTTATCCTACCACTTTTATTTTGCGTGGGTCTGCGCCGTTTATTAACCTTTAACTTTTCTTCATATCTCACCTTTCACGTGAATAAGAATCATCTCGGCACTTCACAGCTGCTTCTGCCATTTTCTCTGAAGATTTTAATCGTTTCATTATTTAGCAATAATATGTTGAACTCTGTAGTATCGCCAGTACGGCCGCCACTCCGGGTTACTGTCTTTATCGTCACGTACATGTAAACACGATATTTGTGAAGCGCAGTGTGCACTAAAGCTGTGAATCTTAGTTTAAGATTCACGTGGAACAGCATATGAGGAAAAACTTTGGAGTGACTAGACGGGACAAGGTAGCTGTTAACCACAAGATCACTTGGCATGGCCGCTGACAGATATATACATATGTGTGTTTCTGAGATAGATATAACGAGTACATTTAAGATAATGTTGAGTATGACCTTGTATATAATGGATGTGTTTATTAATATGCTCAGGAAGACTGTAAGAGAAGTAGAAGCATATTTACATTCCGCAGGCAACCCATCGTTGCTAATAGCTTTCTTACTGCATCCATAATTTTTGTATACTCCAGACACACAGGAAGGTGGAGAAGGCTAAGAAGTTTTCAATAATCCACACTGGTTTTGTGCTTTTTTTTTTGTAAATATAATGCATTTATCTAAGGGAGACATCATATTTTGGATTAGTATATTTATTCGAAGTCCTTAACCCACATTGAATATTTAGCGCAAGAAGTGGTGGAGGCTCAGTCCTCCGCCAGTTAATAGCAAGACAGGAACTTGACTCTCATACAGATGTCTGTAGTGTGCGAGAATTATAAGAATTTAACGAATTATAACATATCATAACTCCAGTAAATGTAATAATACATGAGGTTCATACAAGTGCGATCAGAACACGTAAACCTGTCGAGCAAATTGTACAAAAGATAGTCAGCTAATCAGGATTTTATTCCAACGTCACAAGTTATACAGTTGACGTTCTTAGCCAAATTGATACACCAGCGTTGACTACGAGGAAGGGTTGCTGAACGACTGATACACCTGAGGGTATCGTCGCATTGTAGACCCTGGGGTGAAAAGCATTTCAGTATTTCTCAAGTTACCTTCAACTCTAGGGCAGTGCACCGTGATTTGGCTGGCCCCAGAGATTTTATTTTCTTTCACAGTGAGTATGGAAAGCCACTACGCACACGACCCCTGCTCATGGGCCTTCCATCAGCGGAGAATCGCATCAGTATGACACTTGTCTGCTGCATGTGTTTTGTGAGGATTCCAGCTCTTTGATGACAGTGGGTGCAGGGCCAGATTAAGAAGTCTCCTGGCCCTAGGCTATTCAGATTGGCGGGGCCCTTTGAGTTACGTGTAAGCGAAGCGACCCCTTCCAGCTTGACCGCTGATGATCAGCCCGGTAACTGTAGTCTTTCACCAGCAGTTTAGCTTTCTCTTCAAACATTTCAAAAGCTTCATCATTGCGAAGTGAGCTTACAAATTCCACTAAGCCTGCATAGAGGTTAGCACAAGTAGCCATTTCAATTTCAATTTTCTGAAGTGTCTTGTTCGTGTTCCTTTGCACTTGCACCATGTGCGCAGTCTTGGATGAGCACCTGAACCCCTTGGACCGCGGGGCCCCCAAATGCGCGGGGCCCTAGGCAAATGCCTAGTTTGCCTATGCGGTAATCCGGCTCTGTGTAGGTGTACACTGGTATTGTACAGTCGTTACAGTTTTAAGGTTCAGTAGTGTAGTACTGTACATCCCTGAAGTCACAAGGTCAGCAGTATGTACACTGGTAGTATTGTACATCACTGCAGTTATAAAGTCAATAGGTACATGTAGGTATGCACTGGTAATATTATACATCACTCTAGTTGTAAGATCAGCAAATTGTGTGTACACTTGCAGTGTTGTACACACCTGCAGTTGTAAGTTCAAAAAGTGTACATTGTTAGTGTTGTACATTCCTGCAGTTACAAGGCACACTGCTGCACTTTCACTGATCCAAATTGGAGAATTATTACAGCCTTGATCACAGCTTAATGATCACTGTTGCTGTTGCTTTAATTTCTGTTGCTGTTTCTGTTGTTGTTGCTGCTGCTGCTGATACTTATAATGATGCTTCAGCTAATTAAATAGTTTCTACTTATACTAAACTCATACTAATTAAATAACGTATACTAGTTCTATTACTACTAATGCTCTGATGTGTACTTCCACTACGTCTACTTAGCACAACCATTGTTCTCACTACCATCCTCCATCACTCAAAACTACTACTCACAACCACCACCCACCAACATAAAACCACCACCATCCATCAATCCCACCCACACCATCCACTACCATCATCCACCAACAAAAAACCACCACCATCCATCAACCCCACCCACACCATCCACTACCACCAATCCCTACCACCACCCACACCATACCACGCCAGGTATCAACAAACATTTACCTCACGGCTCCTCATGGCCATCCTCCTCTGTCGACCAGTTGCTTCTTGAGCTTCCCGCCTCTGCAGTCCTTCTTCACTGTTTGCTTCTTCCTCTTTACTTACTCCCTTCTCTGTGCTTACTCTTTTATCCTTGGTTTCTCCTTTCTCCTTGCTTGCTTCTTGCTCCTTGCTTGCTTCTTGCTTCTTGCTTGCTTCTTGCTCCTTGCTTGCTTCTTCCTGCTCGCTTTCGTCTTTGAGTTTCTGGAGAAGAAAGGTAAGACTTCAAGACAAGTTGAGTATTTCACTTATAAGGTAGAGTTTAATTTATAAATACTGGTTTCTGTGCAGATGATCTGTACGGGGTAACCATTGTTTAAACAAAGCTGTTTATATTTAAGTTTGTGTTTTTTCAAATGACATTTATTGCAAACACAACCCCAGTACTAAGCAAAAGAGTACATAGAAAAGACAGCTAACGGAGGACCTGGAAGTTCGCAGAGACAATCTGCTGAGAACTACCTATATCTGCCTAGACTAAAGACTATCTTTTATTAATAGGTGTGTTAGTCAATGATAGACAGAGAATGAATGGGTGAAAGGAGTCAAGGATAGAGAGTGAATGAATGAATAATGTGCTTTCAGTTTCTTTTTCAAGAAGTATTTTTTAACAGTTGAGGTGCTGACCCTACACTTCGGAGCACCAGCATAAAATCATTCATGTAGACCATGCTGTTGCATTTGAGCAGTTATGGCGCCGCGCCATTACAAAACCGCAGAAACTATGTATCTCGGGCTCCACTCTATATCTCCTGACTGACTTTCTTCAAAGTGCCTCTCTTAAGGGTAGCTGTTAATGAAGCAGTCTGTGAGGTGGCCAGTGTCAACGTACCGTAAGAAAGTATACTTGGTCTCTTGCTATATACTTCAACCACCTGCTTCACCTCACCCCGGAATCTCGTGCCTATGTAGATGACTCTACTATAACCCTGATTTATACATTAAACTACCAGTCAGTTTCCCTTTAAGACTAAGTTCGGGAAAAATATTAATAGAGGTGGCCAAATCTGAGAGTTATTTTTCAAATGAGCCCGATTCTGTGGCTGTTTATCAGAGGAGGAACAGTGTTCCTCCATATACTCGTCTTTCTCACTGTTGGAAAATAAGAAAGATTGGAATTGGAGATAAATGGTTCATAGAACCGACAAGTTGATAAGTGAGACATTTATACAACACATGGGTATCTTTATTCTTCAATAAATATACCCAAATGTTGCACATGTGTCTGTAGACAGATTAATGTTACTACTGGCACTTCCGTCAAAGTGAATTAAGAGACTTAACATTCAGCTATAACCTACATAAATGTCATAGGGGCGAAGTTTGACTGCAGTGACGTCTTCCTGAATATAACAAAAATCAAGGATATCAATCTAACAACGTTCTTAAATGTTCACTTTAAACACGTTCTCTCATTTTGCCTGCACCCTCTTCCCTGTGTTATAAATAATTATATATTATAATATATTAAGCTATATTATATAATATTATAAATTATAGGATATATATATATATTTATATATAAATATAATATATATATATAATTATATAATATAAATATTTATATATTAATATATTTAATATTGTGCTGTGTGTGTGTGTTGTTGTGTGTTGTGTAGTTGTGTGTGTTGTTGTGTTTTGTTTATGTATGTAAAACAACCACTGTAAAAAATAGAGAAATTCAAGCGCTTTTCGTGACTACTCACATTATCAGGAACAATGTTCCTTGATAAATGAGAGAATCCAAGCGCTTGGAATTTCTCTATTCTTTCACATGTGGTTGTTTAGGGCTATTCTGAAATCACTGTTACTGTGTCTTATTGCATATGTATGTATGTATGTATGTTATGTATGTATTGTATCGCAAAATGACGATCTTAACAATGCAGAACAAGCCATGTGGAGATAGAAATCTTTAGCTCTAGATCTTTCACACGCTCTTGCGTTGTCAGGAGCTATGCAATGTTGCAAGACAACAACAGATAGGAGGGGAAATTTTCTGAGGCAAAGTAGAAGGTATCAATGGCCCATTTGTTTATATAATAGTCAACGTTGCCGAGGAAGAAATGAGAGTATGTCTGACCAATATCAAAAATATTTGTCAGTCACACCAAGCACAAATATCTAACTAAGAAAGTTACAGAAGACAAGTTAGTTTTCTTTATTTTATTGTGATCTGGAAGAAATCACAATAAAACAGGTGATTACAAATATGAAAAAAAAAAATACCACAGTAAAAACAGGAAATATAACCTGAGCGATTTCATGTGCTTACACACATCGTCAGAGAAAGTATAATGCTTGTGTATCATGTCTTTCACCAGTAACAGGTTTGTATATTTTATATTTCCTGTGTGTTTTACGCGCTTGTGTGTTTACATTGTTAATATTATTATTGTTTTTATTATTTAGATTTAATTAAGTACTCTTGGGAAGCGGTTCTAATTGAAAACTGACTAGAGGTGCCACAGAATATAGGTGACTTGACGGCGCCATCACTGAAAAAGGTTAAAATCTACTGCAGTAGAAGAATGCGTAAGTAAAATATTCAGAAGAAAGTGTAAACAAAAAAAAATAATAACGAACCTTAGCCATTCTGCGTAAACGATTCGGAGAGAGGGAGGTGCTGCCATCTGTTGAGTTTTCCTGCACTTCATACAGCAACCTGTGGACGACGAGTACGATATTGAGTACTGATGAAGGCCACATCTTCAGGTACTGGTGGAGGGCACTGGTTGGGGTAGTCTTGATGAGCAATAGTAATTACGAGCAATATAGGTAAGTACTGGGGCAGAACGGGTGAGAGTACTAGTGAGGGCACTAATGTAAAGCAATGAGAGATACTAGTGAAGGTACTGGAGTATCTTGCACAGTATATAACATTACAGTAGGTACTGAAGTTATTTAACTCTCTTTCCCCAGAATACCATTTCCAAAGTCAGCTAGATGGACAGGGAAGCTGGGGTGCAAAGTAACTTACCCATGACTCACGAAATCGTAATGACACGATTGCAAACAAACCATACCCCGGCCGGGATTGAACCCGCGGTTAGAGAGTCTCAAAACTCCAGCCCGTCGCGTTAGCCACTAGACCAGCTAGCCACAATAAGATTCGTCCAACTAGGTATATTTCTACACCATAGGAAGGTTAGCACAGGCACCACTGTGACCACAAATGCAAGTTTTTACAGACGAATCTCCAGCTAGCGTGGCCGTCTGTAAAAACTTGCATTTGTGGTCACAGTGGTGCCTGTGCTAACCTTCCTATGGTGTAGAAATATACCTAGTTGGACGAATCTTATTGTGGCTAGTTGGTCTAGTGGCTAACGCGACGGGCTGGAGTTTTGAGACTCTGACCGCGGGTTCAATCCCGGCCGGGGTATGGTTTGTTTGCAATCGTGTCATTACGATTTCGTGAGTCATGTTGACGGCAGTGAAGGGACTTGAGCTAGAGTTCGTCACGGCCACGCTAGATGGAGATTCGTCTGTAAAAAACTTGCATTTGTGGTCACAGTGGTGCCTGTGCTAACCTTCCTATAGTGTAGAAATATACCTAGTTGGACGAATCTTATTGTGGCTAACGCGACGGGCTGGAGTTTTGAGACTCTCTGACCGCGGGTTCAATCCCGGCCGGGGTATGGTTTAACTTACCCATGTTTCTTCAAGCCACGAAATCGAACCCGGGACCTTGTTATTGTAAGTCGAATACTCTTACCAGTGAGCTACGTGGCACCTCTGGTGGGGTATTTATTTATTTTTATCAAAATTGAATACATGAGCAGTGTGTTGCTGCAGTGTATGATAATTACACAGTGGAAACAAAAGCTGTGTTTCCCTCTCATAATCCATCATGTAGGATGGTGCTCTGCAAGATGTTGAAAGTTGTCAGTATGAGGTAGAGGACTTCAGTAGTGTCATCCTGAGCTGGGAGACTTCAGTAGTGTCGTCCTGAGCTGGGAGACTTCAGTAATGCCATCCTGAGCTGGGAGACTTCAGTAATGCCATCCTGAGCTGGGAGACTTCAGTAATGCCATCCTGAGCTGGGAAACTTCAGTAGGTTAATAAGGATATCAAGCATTTCAACAAGGCTTCATCAACTACGGTAGTTTCAATGGCTTCCTTCCAGCACAGCTGGAGTTATTATCACTTGGGAATTATCATTTCTCCTGTGAATGAGATAGCCTATCCCAGTCACAAGAGAAATGACATTTTTTATAAAGATATCTCCATCATCCCAGAGCGGGAGCAAGAGAAATTATAGAAGACAGAGGGAAGAGTTGAGAGAGGAGGGTGGAAGAGGACTTGCAACGTCATGGGCACCACTAACTGGTACTGGCGGTGGGTATTAATAAGAAAGTGCTGGTAGGAGGAGGTTACTAATGCAGCATTTATAGGTATACAATGTATATATATATATATATATATATATATATATATATATATATATATATATATATATATATATATATATATATTTGTTAAAATTTCACTGCCTCCTTCCGTGCCTTGTCCTAAGATAATTTGTAACAGTTTCAAATTTCTACTCTTGTGCAGCGGTATACATGGTATAGGTCAGTGATTCTCAACGTGGGCCAGATGATCCTTTCCCCCTGGGAGGCCAATGTATACTTCTGTGGTGCCACATGTAAAAAAATGGAACAATACAGGTGGAATAAGTGCCATTTCTCGCAAGTAACAGCGACTGTGATGGGTCAACAGAGGTCGGTGGTGGTCACAAGGCAGCCTTGAGCGAAGAAAGATTTAGAAACCCTCGTTTAGGGCATTTCCCGTAACATTTTTCAAGAGTTTTCAGGTTAAGCCATTGTATTTTGGTTATGTGTTGCCATGTCGTTGTATTGTTGTCTTCCTTATTATAAATTCAGGTTTAGCAATTGTATCGTGTCTTTGTATATGTGTTGTCTCATTACCTGTTGTCTTACATGTATTAAAATACGTGACTGTTCTCCGTTATAATAACAATAATAATAATCTTTATTTCTACAAGTACATGTATAAAGTATAGTGGTATATCATTGATATCAGTTAGGTATACTACTATATAGAAAGCCGCTTGTTATGCAGAGCATTTCGGGCAAATTAGGTCAATTTTGTCCCCAGAATGCGACCCACACCAGTCGATTAACACCCAGGTACCTATTTTTCTGCTAGGTAAACAAGAACAACAGGTGTCTTAAGTAAACACGTCCTAATGTTTTCACCCGTACCTGGGATCGAACCACGGACCTCAGTGTGTGAGTTGAGTACACCAGCAACCGAGCTACGGTACACCTTAATGGTAGACTCAGGGAGAACTATTTTATATCTTCACTGATTACAAAATCCTGCAGGATTGTGTTGCAATTTTCATCAGTGTATGACACAAAATTAGCAGAGGTGACTAAACTTCTTGATTATTCGTAACAAAATATTTTCTGTTCTAGTTAACACTGTTAACTCCTATTGTAACATGGTACATTGTGCTCTACTGTAATTAAGAACGTTACCTCTATGGTTCTATCATAGTACATGATGTTCTAGTTAACACTGTTGCCTCTAGAGTTAACCTGGTACAATGTGTTGCAGCTAACATGGTTAAATCTAGTGAGGACAGACACATTGTCATGTGGTACCATGTTGTAGACTAAGAAAGGATATTCTGATTATTTTGTTTTAGTTCATAATGTTCCTCTCTCTCTCTCTCCGAAGGCTTTCATGTTGGGCCAGAACAAAGGGCAGGTGACCTACTGAACGAACAACGGTGCTGAACACGTTTGTCTGGCTGCCCTATCCACTTCCATTCCAGGGTCCTCGCCTGCCCGTCCTTCACCCATCCATAACCCCCGGAGTCAGGGGTCATGCCTGCCACGGATTCGTTTCAGCTCTACATTGCCACGGAAAGGAGGTTGGAGCTCTACACGCCACGGATAGGAAGTTTCCATCTCCATAGCGCCACAGATAGGAGGTTCCAGCTCTATTAGCGCTATTGAAAAGAGGTTGCAGCTTAACAGGCAGCCCATTCTACAGGTTAAATATCACTTTGCAACTATGCCACAGTTTGGACCGTTATCAGGTCCTGGACCTTGGTCCGCAACTAAAATCACAGGACGGAGAGGGGCAGGTTTTTTTTTTTAAGCTAGCAAAAGTGGATACATTAGTAGTGTGTTGCTACACTTGTTATATGATAGTTACACAGCGGGAGCAAAATCTTTTCCCCTGTCATATTCCATCACGTCGAGTGGATATCTTAGTACTGAAATGAGCTGGGAGACTTCGGAAGTGTCAGCCTTAGTTAGGAGACTTCAATAGGGTAATGAGGATATCGTCAAGTATTCCAGCAAGAGTTCAGCATTTATGGCAGCTTCGAGGGCTTTCTTCCAGCAGAGCTGGAGTTTCTTTCACTTTGGAATGACCATCTCTCTGGACATCCTATCCTATACACAGGCTCTTCCCTGAGTTTCATTTCTCCTATCATTTTGTCAACTGTATTTGATGCAAGTTTCATTGCATGTCATTATTTTTGTTTGGAAAGATTATTTGGTATTTGCAGTGCATCTGAGAAATAATTGAGATATTTTAAAACTTCATCATAGCCTAGTGTTCAACACTATTGTAAGTTAAATGTACAACAAGAAATAGATGCATAAACTAAGCTTCATGTGAAGGTTTAGTATATAATATCAGTTATATTTCAGTAAGGCAATTTGCCGGTATCCTAGTACATCAGTGTGGTCTGCAGTGTCTGAACTAACACAGCTGTAGTTTCTGCTGTTTTTATAAAATTTGATGAGACATGTGTCAATTTTTACTTGATTCGTGCCCTAAGGCAAATAGATAAGTAAGACATGTGAAACAGTTAGGTATCTTTATTCCGAAACGTTTCGCCCTCACTGTTGTGTTGAATACAGAGATCACAAATATGCAGAGCCAAGAATCTTACTGTAGCCAGATGGACCACCAGTGGCTTACGCGCTGGCCTAGAGTTGTGCGACTCACTCGCCACGAGTTCAATTCCCGCCCCTGGTGTGGTTTGTTTGCAATCGTGTCATTACGAATTCGTGAGGCAAACAATGGAGAGGTAAAGATGATGTGATCACACTCAGCAGTTTAAGCTGGTCAGGTGGAACATATCTCTTATCTACTTGTTGTTTGTATATCGTTATTTTATTCACATTGAGAGGCAAGAAAATCAAGTTCCGCTTTCCTATCAGATGACGTGCCTTGACGTGTTATCAGATTAATGATAGCTAGCTTGAAAATGCTGACTCTAATACTGCGGTTGAGCACCCGAATGTTGCGATTGTTACAGCGATTTTATGCACATCTGGGAAGGCTTGTTTAAGGTCAAGTAACTTTCGTAAGATCCACATTGACCATTTGTTATGTAATATGCAGGACATTGGTGCTTCCAGCTCAACACTTGATAACTGCTTGTCTCATCTTTCCCTCCCTGGACTAGTACCTTTTGAGAGCTGGTCGTCCCCACTACACCCTGGAGTAGTACCTTGAGAACTGGTCGTCCCCACTACACCCTGGAGTAGAACCTTGAGAACTGGTTGTCCCCACTATACCTTGGAGTAGTACTCTGAGAGCAGGTCGTCCCTCACTACACCCTGGAGTAGTACCTTGAGAGCTGGTCGTCTTCTTCACCAGACTCGAGCATAAGAGTGTTGTAGTCGTTGGGTCGTTGCAACATCTGGTCCAACCTGAACACCGTCTCCCTCAAAGACCAAGACGACCTTCCGCCAGCCTCACCACTGTTCTGCAACACCTGCCAAGACACCCAGATACCTTCACTAATAACCCACATAGAGACAGAAACTCAGGAGACTGATTGATCTCTCTATTTCGACCCCCTTCTGGGATCCTCTTCAGCAGATACACAAGTGAAAGAACATGAATTTATAGGAAAAGTTGCACCTCTCACCGTTTGGGGGAGTAGGGAGTGTCAGGTGAGCGCGTGGGAGACAGGTCAAGTAAGGACTAAGACAATAGCTGCAGTTACAAACGCAAAATCAGAATACCAGTTTCAGCATCTCACGGGGACAATGCAAACCAGACGTCATTTTAGAGTTCGCCCTCAAGAAGTACCTACCAGCGCCCAACCTAACACAGAACGCCAGAACAAAACAGGAATCACATAGCACAAAGGAACTTCCTACCAAAATTTTCAGCTTCTCTACAGGGCCTGTCTTCCAAATCCTTCCTAGACCTGTCCTCCCAAGTACTCATCTGACACTCCCTACTCCCCTACACGGTAAAGGGGTCGAAATATATAGATCAGCCTTCTGTGTTTCTATCTCCATGTGTACTATTATTGAACATTGACAAGTGTTCATTAACATTTTAGTTATTCATATTATATATATATATAGTACCACCTCTATAGCTGGAATATATATATATATATATATATTATATATATATATATATATATATATATATATATATATATATATATATATATATATATATATATATATATATATAATATATATATATATATATGTATACGTCGTGCCGAATATGTAAAACTGGTCAATTAGCAAGAACTCATTTAAAATTAAGTCATTTCTAAAATTTTCTCTTATACGTTTAAAGATATATTATTTTCATTAATGTTAATGTAAAAATTTTTAATTTTGCAACAAAAGAATCTTAGAAAACTTACCTAACCTTATTAAAACAAGAGCAATTTATTTTAGCCTAACCCAACTAAATATATTTTAGATTTGTTTACAATAATTTAATACTAAACAAACACAATGAAATATATTTTTTTCGTTAGGTTCAGAATGATTTTGGCGAAATTATTGCATACACAAATTTTCGTTTGTCCTATTTGGCAAGATGATCGTTGCTATTTAAGCCAAGATAGCAAATTCTGCCTATTTGGCACGACATATATATATATATATATTATATATATATATATATATATATATATATATATATATATATATATATATATATATATATATAAGTCACCACATGCCAAGCCAAAATTGTCTTTAAAAAAGTACAAATCCGATTTTTATAAAGTAAGGCTTTACTGACCTTGGTGTGGGCGCGGTGTGGCCGGGGTAGTGGGTGAGCGTGGGTGGTGGCCGCCCACGTTACCAGCAGCAGCAGCAGCACGCAAGACTGACCCATGATGCTTGCTGAAGAGAGAAGAAGCGGTGGAGATTGTGGATAATGATTGTTACCCCTAAAGATTCTAGCTGCCACTATGACTCTGAAATTACTCCTGATGTTATAGTTCTGTCTATACTCGCTCTTAAAGTCATATCTATATACTCACCATTAAACACATGTTTAGTAAAAAGACACATGAAATATTTTCTCCGCGGATGGTGCAGTGTCAGGGTGTTCAGGCGAAAGAGTTCTTTGATTGTGGAGTTGAAGGTTGCAGGAAAGGCGGCGTTCTAAATCATGTGAGCATACGTCACATAGTACATGATGTTAGTGGAGTGCTCTCTGAGATTGTTGATATAAGGTTGGTAGCAGAAGTAAGCCGAAATCTCCACCTCTCAGGCATCTCATATTACCACAGAGCGAGAGCAGTTCCATCACATCGCCCAATTATGGAACTCCAGTGCATATACCCACCTCGTCAAGCACTGCCCATCGACGGAAAAGAAATACTGGTCCAACTGCGACACTGAAGAACGCACTCTTAAAGATTGCACCTCTACCTCTCAACCGAAATGCCTCGACTGCCAGAGTAAGCATCACACTCTTGCATCTAAATTCCCTTTCAGGAAGGAAATCGTTAATAAGAAAACACCCAAGGGACCAAAGGAGAAAAACCAAGATGCCGACTTGCGCTGCGGTCACTGGACTTCAAGCTGACACTCAGAGAATTCTCCGAGTTACTGAGCAACGAATGCAAGTGCACAGAGGTTATGTATATAGGTGAAGTGAAGGAGGAACAAAAACTCTGCAGTAGGCTTACTGCTCATGCTACAAGTAACAATAAGAAGAGGTAACTCATCAATACTCTCTTTATGATGGTATGTTCACTTACAGTATTAGTAACACTCTCCAATAAGTTCCCTTCACATAATAAATGTATACTGACAAGTCTTTTCCCAAGTTGGGCTGGCTGAACCTACCTTCTGGGACGTCTCTCTGCTACTGTTGACCACCACCTCAACCTGGCCACCTACTGCCTGACCTGACTACCTGGAACTTCCTACCATGACTTCCCGAAGGTCTCGCACACACGCGCACTCACTAAAGCGTACGTATCTCATTCTCATGTAAGTAAACAAGCGACCACAAATGCACACGACGTTTAAACAAATGCAAAGATGCCTTTGTTGACTTGGTATTGTGAAGACAGGGCGTGTGTGTATGTGTGTGCATGTGTGTGTGTGTGTGTGTGTGTGTGTGTGTGTGTGTGTGTACACTCGCCTATATTCGGTTGCAGGGTCGAATCTCAGCTCCTGGCCCATCTCTTCGCTGGTCGCTGAAGTAGTAGTTACTAGTTGTCAAATGTACTTGTCGATAGACACATAGCCTGGATTTTTGCTTTCAGTGATCGAGTCATAGCTCCTGGTCCTGTCTTTTAACTCGTGTCGACCTTTCCTACCGATTTCTGTCCAGGGCCCAGTCATATCTGCTCTTGAAGCTATGTACACTTATTTGTACAGTGTTTACCTCCACCCCAATGAAGAGCAGGGGCACCACGGGCACGCTAAGAGACAACACAGTAAGCGTCAGGGGCCAAAGATTGTTCAATTGCCTCCCATCACACATAAGGAGGATTACTAGTAGACCCCTGGCTGTCTTCAAGAAGGTACTGGACAGGCACCTAAAGTCAGTTCTTCACATCTTCCTTCCTTAACTGTCCTTCACATCTTTTAACGTCACTGTCCGTCACAGTCATCTTCCTTCTGGTGTGACAGTACAGCAGTAGTAGTGTCGGCTCTGGTTTGGTCTTTGTCGCTATCATTCTGAAATTCTCTCCTTTTTTTTTTTTTCCTCAAACTTACATTTTCATTATCATTCTGCTCGCTTCTCTGTGCTCTACCGTCTTTCTCACACTTTTTTGACTTAGTTGCTCCATATTTTTGAGTGAACCGTGGAGAGAGAGAGAGAGAGACTTCTTCCCGTTGCTATTTTTCTTCGGAAAGAATTTCTTCTCTGCCTGTCAGCACTTTCTAGATATCTACAACATCCACTTCCTGGTTGACTTTATTTTCTCTCTCCTTTCCCCTTCATTTAAGAAGGTTCTTATCCTAGTGTATTTCCTATCTCGTAGCCTGGCTTTACGCTTCCTTCTCATTTTCTTGTTCCTTTCCAGTTTTACTGTCATCAAGCAATTAATGCTCAGGACTGAATGATCATTAGTGTTTGTCTCATCTATGGTAAAATGCAGATCAAGTATGGCTTTGTTCTTCTCTCTCTCCCCACTCCCACTCTACTTCCCCATCCCCCTCTCCTTCCTTTATATCATATTCCAGTTGTCGTTATACTCCTGCCTCGGCCTCCTGTTGTTTGGCGGTGGGTTGTAAAATAAGACTACTGCTCCTTTAGTCGTCTGGTCGTGGTTTTGTGTCTGCTGTGTCGTATGTGTTTACTTATTTGTGGCCACAAAGGTCGAGTCTCGGCTTTTTGCTTTGCTTCTTAAACTACCTATTACTGGGCTCACTCTCTCGTAGTGTCTTGAAACCCATCATACCTGTTTTTAAAACTATGTATAGATCCTGCCTCTAGTGTGTGTGTATGTGTTGTTCCTAGGGTCTTCCCCACCAGCTGTTCTCTGGTATTATCATTCTACCTCTCTGTTTTTTTTTATTGTTGTTTGCTGGGTTCGTTTAAGTTTATTTGCTTCGTGAGCTGCTTAGTTGGTTATTCGGTGAGCTGGTTTGTTGGCCGGCTGTTTGGCGAGCTGGCTTGTTGGTTGTTTGACCAGCCCCATATAAAGCACTGTTGTGTATCAAGCCTTACCTAGGCTTTCACATCCTCACTTGTATGTCATTCTCCGTTCTTTGGTCTTCTTTGACTCCCAGAGCTCACATCTGGTCCTGGACCAGTATGTCACTGTCCATTCTTTGGTCTTCTGTGACTCCCAGAGCTCACCGCTGGTCCTGGTCCAGTATTCTTTGGTTCAAGACCTTCGGTATTTGTTGGCTAGACTCTGTTTCAAGCACGAAGACTTGAAGTCTTTCTAGACCATGTGAGAATCCAAATTAATGTGTTCAGAACCATGAGGGAGCCCCATGTGGCCATGACCATGTGGGAATCCCAAATAATGTGTTCATTACCAGATCCGTGTGTGTGTATGTGTGTACAGAAGCTGGTGATGTGTACACAAGTGAAGGCTATGTGTACATCTTGGCAGAATTCCCAGACCGTGTCTGTTGTCACCTTGGTGGTGCTACGATGACCTTGGTTGTGTTTAGATGACCTTGGTGGTGTTAAGATGACCTTGGTGTTAAGATGACCTTGCTGGTGTTAAGATGACCTTAGCAGTGTTAAAATGACCTGGGTTGTGCTAAGCTGCTAACATGACCTTGGTTGTGTTGAGAAGAGATAAAGTGACCTTGGTGAAGATTTAAAAAGAATAAGATAACCTCTGAGAGAGTTACGGTGGGTAGAGAGTGACCTTAGTGGATATTATGAAGCACTGTAACCATAAACATGACCTTAAAGATCACTGATAAAAATCCATGGCTCATAACTATCTGACTTATTCAAAATCGTAAATAAAATAGGCACTTGGTTTTACGTTCATATCTTTTTTACAATCATAATTATCTATTTTCCAGGATACATTTGTGTCCAAAAAAAATTCTTGGCAGGAAAAGTTTGCGCCAAGACTTTCTTGTAGTCGAAGATTAGTGACCAATCCCACACGTTTAGTGACCAAACCCGCACGTTTAGTGACCAACCTCGCACGTATAGTGACCAACCTCGCACGTATAGTGACCAACCTCGCACGTATAGTGACCAACCTCGCACGTTTAGTCTAGATAATGAATTAATTAAGTCTACTAATATAGAAGAGAGTGACCTAGAATTGTAGGTACTAGTTGTCAAAGACACTTATCGATAGACAGCTTTTTTGTGTGCGTGTGTGTGTGTGTGTGTGTGTGTGTGTGTGTGTGTGTGTGTGTGTGTGTGTGTGTGTGTATGTGTGTCAGAGGTGCGACGTATGCGCATGTAAGGTGTTGTATATCTGGACATGCGCAGCCTGTTTTCTTACGAGAGCAATTTCACTTTTGTGATATTTATTTTTCAGTTAAAACACGTGTGAAAGCTGGTGGTGTATAAGTTGCTAAGCCACGCCCAGCGAGGTCAACAACTCGCTCGTAACCTCGACCTTCCTGGGAGAAGTGATAGGCAGTGAGACCTTGATGCTGATCAGCGGCTCTTTGATTCAATCAGAGCTAACCATCCCCCCTCCTCTTACCATGGATCATACGTGATTACCTCCCATTTGCTAGGGCTGCATGGGCCAGAAACACACACACACACACACACGCATACCACGCTCCTGGCATAACAATATTTTATTCTACGTAAAGTACATTTTGTATACTGCAGACAAGTATATATATATATATATATATATATATATATTATATATATATATATATATATATATATATTATATATATACATACATATATATATATAATTATTGTAACCACGAACGAGTGGTAATGATCAATAACAACACTGCGCTAGCCAAGGATTCGAACCCATGTTGTACTGGCCTGCCTCATGGAAAGCGCCATGTGGTTCTCGCTTACCATGAGGCAGGCCAGTACAACATAGGTTCGAATCCTTGGCTAGCGCAGTGTTGTTATTGATATATAAATATATATATATATATATATATATATATATATATATATATATATATATATATATATATATATATATACGCACAACAACCACGGGGGAGTTGAATGATAGCTCTAGGTCTTTCGTATTGCAATCATCAGGAGTTTGCATGGGCATAGGACAGAAAGACAAGGTACAAGATGGAGCATAATAAGGGAAATAAGAATGTAAACTGAATATCATATAAGAGTGACGAATTAATAGACCGGTAAGTGGAGGAAACCCCAGATATAATAGCTCTCACAGAGACACGTTGATTTATAACAGATGCAGTATTACTAGCATATTAACAAGAGGTTTTATTTGGTCACCTCATTACTACCAAATAACCTCCATCAATTCTTTGTAACTCCCCTCGACATTTGTAACCCTTTTTTTACTTTTCTAATCCCCTCACCCTTTGTAATCCTCTTCACTTATTTGTAACCCCCTCTCATCTTCTGTAACCACTATATCTTTATCACCCTCTCTCCTGTCACTGTATTTAAAGGTATCATATTAATATTATTATTATTATTATAATCAAGGGGGAAGCGCTAAACCCATAGGGTTATACAGCGCCTGGGGGGGGGGATGTGGAAGGCATTCAGGCTTAATTCGGGGAACTGGAGCACAAATCCAATTCCCTAAATCAAGAGCCCCTCACCAACATCAAGGAACCTTCCTTGAGGGGATCATATTAATAAAATCACAAATATTAACAAATTTATTTGCATAATTTAAGTAACAGTGATTGATATATATATATATATATATATTTACATGCTGTATTATTATTATTATTATTATTATTATTATCATCATCATTATCATCACCACCACTGCGTGAAGGCGCGTGTTGTAAGTCTGCTGCTGTATGGGTGTGGAACAGTGATGGGACAGTGACAACATAGTCGACCTATGGAGGCTGAGGTTATGTAGTGTGTTAGAAGTAAAGTTGGAGTGAGGAATGACAATGATGCGGACTTAAGTCGGGGCGAGCAGAAACATTACAATGATATGGTCAGGTGGAAGGGATGGATAACGGCTGAGTGTGATTTAATGAATGTGTGAGGGCAGGAGGAGGAGGAGGAGGAGACGCAGAGGGTCGAGTATAGGTAGTGTATGAGGGAATGATTGATTGATGTCTTGTGACAAGTTTCTGGAATGCCTTTTTTACACCTTTTATAAAATGATGAAGTTGGTTTTGTGACTACGACTCTGGTGAGGTGGGGTACCAGTCTCCCCATGATGATCTTCCCGTGATATTAGTGTTACAGTATTAGTCTCCAGCGATGTTAGTGTTGCAGTACTAGTCTTCTGTAATGTTAATAAATTTAGATGTTACGATGGGTAATCTGCATCAATCTTTTCATAACAGTCATAATGTGTTTATATTTGTGTTCATCAATGTGTTAAACAGTACATTGTTGCTCTCATCTTGAACCTTTCTCCTACATTTTTCCATCTCATTTGTGAGAACACTATCCCACTCCAATAAAAGAGGGAACCGTGAAGGTATGTTTATTATTATTATTATTATTATTATTATTATTATTATTATTAGTAGTAGTAGTAGTAGTAGTAGTAGTAGTAGTAGCGATGGTAGTAATGTTGGTGTTTTCTTCAGGACCACAATCTTCAGAGTGGTTGCCTGCTGGTGTCTGCAGATGAATCCCGCTCAGCCCTAACCTGCAGAAGTGAAGATACTCATTATAATATACATCACAACTGTTTTATAATGACACCTCCATTACTAACATAATTATTTAAAACCAAAACATTTTAACTGGATGAAACATAAGACTAAAGAAAATTAAGCCATTCCGTAGCAAGGAAGGAAAATGTTAAAAGATGTTTAACCCCAGATACAGGATACACCAGTATGCCAAAGTGAAAATAAATCTTTTGTTTTGGTTTCACTGCTGTTGTTGAAAGGTTGTCTCAGTGATAGAGTAAAGGTTTACACAAATTATTGAATGTGATGGGTTGCTGCAGTTCGGAGGGTCATCCGAACTGTGATGTCAACGTGCTTCCGACAAGACAACAGTTGAACGAATTATGGAAAATGTGTTTCCTTTTTATTTTTGGGTCATCCTACAGCTCCGTCACCAGTCATCACCTTCAGCTCCGTCACCAGTCATCACCTCAGCTCCGTCACCAGTCATCACCCTCAGCTCCGTCACCAGTCATCACCTTCAGCTCCGTCACCAGTCATCACCTTCAGCTCCGTCACCAGTCATCACCCTCAGCTCCGACACCAGTCATCACCTTCAGCTCCGTCACCAGTCATCACCCTCAGCTCCGACACCAGTCATCACCCTCAGCTCCGCCACCAGTCATCACCCTCAGCTCCGACACCAGTCATCACCTTCAGCTCCGTCACCAGTCATCACCATCAACTCCATCACCAGTCATCACCCTCAGCTCCTTCACCAGTCATCACCTTCAGCTCCGTCACCAGTCATCACCCTCAGCTCCGACACCAGTCATCACCATCAACTCCGTCACCAGTCATCACCCTCAGCTCCGACACCAGTCATCACCTTCAGCTCCGTCACCAGTCATCACCCTCAGCTCCGTCACCAGTCATCACCATCAACTCCATCACCAGTCATCACCTTCAGCTCCGTCACCAGTCATCACCCTCAGCTCCGCCACCAGTCTTAATGCTCACCTTAACTTTGTGTAGTATACTGAAGGTCTCCAACACCGCCACGGCATGATAAAATATTTATCGCACAAAGTGTTATGAATGAGTATTGAGGTTCCTGGATGCCAGTGTTGTGTTTATCTGCGCCTCACCAGAAGATTATTATTATAATCAAGGGGAAAGCGCTAAACCCGGAGGATTATACAGCGCCTTGGGGGGGGGGGATGTGGAAGGCATTCAGGCTTAATTCGGGGAACTGGAGCACAGATCCAATTCCCTAAATCAAGAGCCCCTCACCAACATCAAGGAACCTTCCTTGAGGGGCCTCACCAGAAGAGCTTGTGGGTAATCGTAATTCCTAGTTCGTTTTCTTTAACTGTTGCTATTACTTTCATTCCTGCCCCTATGTACTAAGCTTTTTGTACTCATCTATTTGTACTTTACAGGGGTCGAACCCACAGCTCCTGGCCCCGCCTCTTTGTTGCTCGCTACTAGGTCCACTCTGTTCCTGCCCCATGAGCCTTCTTAAGAATATATTAATACATGTAAACTACATTTTGTAGTACTACAGAGAGAAATGAAGCTTTTTTATGTATGGATCCTGTAAGTGTGTGTCTGTGTGCACGTACTGTACATGTGTGGGCTTCTGTGGTGTTTACGTTCCTCTGTGTGTGTGTGATCACTCGTCTGCCCAGCACGTTCACTACATTGCGTCAGCATCATACCTAATACTATACGAGAAGAGACTTTCTAGGCGTCATAATGTAGAACTGTACTATCGAAGAAAACGAAGATTTGGCGAGATGAAAGAAAACGAAGATTTGACGAGACCAAAGAAAATGGAATCGTGACGAAATTATAGAAAATGAGTGTCTGCTATCTAGAATTATGGGGGTAACTAAAACCATAGTGGAACACCTGATGATACCCCGCATCATCTTACTAGTCTTCCAGCTCAGGCTGACACACTTCATTGCGCTAGTAAACCCATCCTCTGTGATAGAATATGACGAGGGAACACGACTCGCTTGTATATAGCCACACACCGGGTGCTCCCACCCCATAGTGCAATTACTAGTGAGAGACTGGTGCTATTTTTAATTTGTATTTTTATATTATTAGATTAAACCTAGTTGTACTATAGCTCATTCTAGCTCAATACATAGTCAATACCAAATTCACTATATTAGACCATAGTGCAAATACTAGTGAGAGACTGGTGCTATTTTTAATTTGTATTTTTATATTATTAGATTAAACCTAGTTGTACTATAGCTCATTCTAGCTCAAAACATAGACTCCACAAAAGTCATTATATTAGACCTTAGTGCAATTACAAGTGAGAGTCTTGTTCTATTTGTAATTTGTATTTTTATATTACTAGTTTATACCTAGTTGTACTTTAGTTCATTCCAGCACAACACATAGACAACATCAACTTCATTATGTGTAGTAGTGACTATACTCTATATGACCAAAATATTCTAGCTATATACTTGCCCAAACTTCCTACCACTACAGATATCAGTACTAGAACTCAACACACAACTCAGGATATAAATAACCATAATTTAAACCTAGAAGATGATTGATCACGTTGACCCTGATCTAAACCTCCATAATCTGACACCCAATCAAAACCTATTGGAAAGTAACTGCCTTTATTACACAGCATCACAAGCCAGCACTATCCTAAACAATGCTAAAAGTCTATCAGTACTTAACTACAACATCAGGTCCTTAAGCAAACACTATGATGACCTCCTAGCACTCCTTGAATCACTAAAGACACCCTTCTCCTGCGTTATTCTTACTAAGACCTGGCTTAAGCAGGACACAATAGATATCTACCCTCTACCAGGATACACAGCAATTCACAACTGCAGACCAAACCAAGTTGGGGGTGGTATTGCAATCTATTACTCTAACCAATTATCTTGTACTAGCACCATGTGCTTTAGTGATGAATATGGGGAATACATTTTTGCTAATTTTTCTGTAAAAAACCTTAAGACACCTATAACAATCGGTGCCATTTACCGGATACCTCACACAAACATCCCAAATTTCAGTGAGAAATTAAAGTCACTAATAACAAACAGGCAAATGAATAAGCACCACCTTCTCTTAGCTGGAGACTTCAACATCAACCTTGGCTTACTAGATGATCACACTTCTCATACCAACAATAACTAAACCAACCAGGCTCACTGAGACAAGTGCAACCTTAATAGACCACATATGGACCAATATACTAGCCCCCCTTAAATCAGGGATAATCACAGATAGCACTACAGACCACTACCCTACCTTCCTCCTGACAAACATTAGTAAACCACCACTTGAATACAACAAAGTCTCATTTAGACTCCATGATGAGGCCTCAATAAGGAAGTTCACAGCTGATCTAGAGACTGTTGACTGGCCTACAGAATTCTCCAAGGCCAATGGTATTGATGACTGGACTATACTTAGACTATACAACAAACATTGTCCTATAAAAACGAAACAGATCACAAACAAACGGCTTGGTTGCCCATGGCTAACCAGCACCATTCTGAAATCCATTGACAAGAAACACCAATATGAAAAGCAATATAGACAGGGCTTAACACACAAAGATATTCTTAAACACTATTCATCAGTTCTCACCAAAGTAATAATGAAAGCCAAACAACTATACTACTCCAGTAGATTCACAGACACTAGAGGAGATATAAAAAAGACCTGGAAAACACTCTCTCAGATTCTAGGGACCCACAAACTGAAAAAAAAAAACAAGAATATTGTCCTACCTAAACCTAATGAAACACCACTACATCCCACTGACACAGCTAACAAGATAAACGACTTCTTCTCAACCATAGGATCTAATCTCGCCAATAAAATCCCACATACCAATGCCCATGCCAGGGACTACCTAGATGGGAATTTCCCAAATTCCTTCTATCTTGCACCATCTGAGCCCACGGAAGTCACCGAGATTATAAAATCACTTAAAAATAACTCAGGGAATCTGTCTCATGTCCCACCATTACTGTACAAGCGAGCGGCCCATGTCCTTTCGCATGCTATTTCATTACTTTTAACAAGTCACTAGAACTAGCTCCTTCCCGAAACTACTCAAGATGGCAAGGGTTACACCAATACATAAAGGTGGTGACCCTATAGACTTAAACAACTATAGGCCAATATCTAACTTACCATTGCTATCCAAAATCTTTGAGAAACTCGTGCACAGGAGACTGTATTCATTCATAACGGCACAAAACATACTCAACCCCTGCCAATTTGGATTCAGGAAAAATAAAAGCACTAATGATGCAATCATAAAAATGCTAGATCTGCTTTACACAGCATTGGAAAATAAGGAATATCCACTAGGAATTTTTTATTGACCTAAGAAAGCTTTTGACACAGTTGACCACGACATCCTACTCCACAAACTTGACCATTACGGTATAAGAGGGCCATGCGCTTGCATATTTCAAATCTTACCTAACTAATAGGTATCAGTATGTCACCATTAAAAACACAGCATCAACAACACGGCCACTTGATACTGGAGTTCCGCAGGGAAGTGTCCTTGGTCCCCTGCTCTTCATCATATACATCAATGATCTTCCAAACGTATCCCAACACCTGAACCCATTATCTTTGCTGACGACACGACTTATGTCATCTCTCACCCTAATCTTGCCACCCTCAACACCATTGTTAACGAGGAGCTGATCAAAATATCGACTTGGATGACAGCCAATAAACTTACGCTTAACACTGACAAAACCTACTATATTATGTTTGGTAGCAGAGCAGGAGATGCACAAATTAACATTAAGATCGACAACACTCTAATTACCAGACATAATGAGGGCAAATTCCTAGGCCTATTCCTTGACAACAACCTGAATTTCAGCACCCATATCCAACATATAACCAAAAAAGTATCCAAAACGGTTGGGATTCTCTCCAAGATACGATACTACGTGCCGCAAAATGCCCTTCTCACACTATACCACTCGCTTATTTATCCATACCTCACCTATGCTATTTGTGCTTGGGGATCAACTGCAGCAACACACCTAAAGCCAATAATAACCCAACAGACACATTCATCACCTTCAAAACTACCATTAGAAAACATCTTATCTCCCTGATACACCCCGTCAACTAACTACACGAATACCACCTGGTGGTTCACACTTACACTCACTCACCCATTTGACCATAAACAGAAATATTAATCTCAATCTTAAAATAATGAATCCTGTGATACTCCAATACTGAAACTATGTACTGTGCCAAAACAAAAGCATTCACATTGCTAAACTCACAATCTAGTATTTAGTCACTTAGCCATAATACCAGCTTACCTCATAATTTGTAATATTTTAAAATTAAGAATTAAACTAAGTCTGCCCGAAATGCCTAGCCATGCTAGGTGTTCTAGTGGTACACTCTGTAATCATTATTTTACTACATGTAAACCACACAATAACCAAATTCTGTAAACTCAGCATTGTAATCCTTATAGAGAATAAACTTTGAATTTAAATTTGAATTTGATATTGCAGCATTAAATGAATTCCAAAGGATGAGGAACAGAATACAGAGACTTATAAAAGGAGCAAAGACAAAGCACTATTGCTCAAAAATTGAAGAGTATAAGCATAACCCCAGAAAGCTCTGGCAACAGTTAAAACAGTTGGGGTATAGCCATAAGCCAGTAGATAGGTCTAACATAGTACTCACTATCGATAAAGAGGTATGCCACGAAACATCTAAGGTGGCAAATTGCTTTAATTCCTACTACACATCTGTTGCATCAACACTAGTAAGTAAACTACCAGCTGCATCAAATACCTTTAACACAGACTCTGATAAGTTTCAAACATACTATACCAATAAAGGGGTAACCCCAAACAGTTATCAGCTAGTAAGTGTATCTCCTGACTTTATTCAAAAAGAACTAAGCAGGTTAAACCCAACTAAGAGCACAGGCCCTGATAACATCCCGTCTAAGTTCCTAAAAGATGGTACTTCTGAATTGTCAATCCCTATTGCTCACATAATAAATCTGTCAATCACCACTAACACCGTACCAGATGGGTTCAAGGAGGACAGAGCTACTCCTCTCTTCAAGAAAAATAGTAGGTCTGATGTCAGCAACTATAGGCCTGTTAGTATACTCAGTGTAATATCCAAAATTCTAGAGAGGGCGGTGTACTGTCAAGTAGTTAAGTACCTTAATGACAACAACATTCTCCATAGCTATCAATCGGACTTTAGAAGATCCTACTCAACCGACACTTCCCTAATTAATCTGATGGATTACATGAGAATGAAATGTCAATGGGGAACCTCATAGGTATGGTAACCTTAGACCTACAAAAGGCCTCCGATACTGTCAACCACAATATATTATGTAAGAAACTTCAAACTATCGGTATAGGTTCTGTAGACTGGTTTAAGTCTACCTTAGCAACAGTCCATCATCTTGAAAAGATTATTAGACTGACCACATCGACTCAAGGCTGAGGGACTGATTACCTCAAACTCCTCCTGTTCTTCATCTTTCTCCTTTGTATGGACTGATGAAGCCACTGTGTGGCGAAACGTTTCCTCATTAAAGATACCCAAGTGTTGCATATGTGTCTAATTTACCAACTTGTCGGTTCTCTGAACCATTCATCTACATTACTTATAACTCACTATATAGCCACACACTGGATGTTCACACATATCCAGAAAATTATTTACTATTGGAGAATATGTTGAGTGAGTTGCATGTGCACTTGGTCCTTGTTGCTGTAGTTAACACAGACCAGCTCTCTCCTCCTGCCCATAAACGAAAAATTACCTAAGAATGGCTAACAGGGTATTACATTTCTGTTTTTTTTCCAATAGGACCTTGCAGGTGGTGTCAGTTTCAAGACAGTTGAAAGAGACATTCTCGAGATATTTTCGGTACATGGAGGAGAAATGCACATGGCACCTATTCTTACGCAGGTGATACCTGAAGGATGTTTTTGGGGAGAAGGGAGAAATCAACGTCCCAGACAAGGTCCTCAAGGTTGTGTGATAGAGATAACCGAGAATATATGTCAGCAATAATCAGTGAAGATGGGAAAATTGTCGAGTGATTTAGTGAATAATTGACATTAATGTAGAGCAAGAAAGAGCTGAAGTCGTTTGCTTTTACCGTGGTTCAAGAACTCTGAAAGTCTGGTCGCAGACCGGGCCGCTGGGGGCGTTGACCCCCGAAACCCTCTCCAGATATATAAACTGCTCTCCTTTGGCTGTTTACTCCTGTCCCTGTGTAATACTGCATTTATTTGTGCTATTGCATATTACAGTTGGTTAAATAAGGTTAAATGACGTTAACCAAATCTATCAAAGCCTAAATATATGTAGAGACATCAGCTTAAGCAAATGCAATATTTTCCGTCGTATAAGACGCATCTTCGGATTAGACGCATTCTAATGCAAGGATATTTTTGTGGAATAATAATAATGATGATAAAAATAATAATATGAGGACTTACCATAGATAACCAAGTTTCTATTAACAGTGTCCAAAAAGCGGTTGACAACATCCCGTCCACTGGTCATCACGTTATTGGTAATCCTGGAAAAATATATATCTTACAATACCTCTAATATGGAAGAACATGCATGTTATATGCTATATTGAAACTTGCTTCTTATAGTATATTATATATCTAAGCATGTTATATGTTGTGCTACATGACCCAATACATTTAGCGCCTCCCTTTGATAATAATAAAAAAATATATATGATGTATGTTGTAAGTATATTACATTGTATGCTATGGTTAAACATGCTTGATATATGGTATATTTATGAATATGCTTGTTATAATACATTCTACTGGGAGTTCCTTAGGTCAGGAATCATTGGGCAGAAGTTTGTTATTGCGTTTAAGAGCCCATGACGCCTGAGTGGGGAGGAAGGTAATTAGATGATCCTATTGGGAGGACGCCTGGTCTGGGACCTGACCGTGGGGGCGCTGACCCCCGGAACACCTCAGGGAGGAAATTGAAACAGGAGTAAAGAACAAAAAAAGCCAGTTTAACACACAAAAAAGAATAAGAAATCATGATTTCGTGGGTGGAACAAGTTACGAAAGCACTCAGGAATACTCTCCAGGTAAACTCCAGGTAGGTAGGAGAGGAACTTTACGACGATGATGTTTCCGTCCATCCTGGATCATTGTCAAGTCCGTTGTCTTGACAATGGTTCAGGACGGAGCAAAACGTTGTTACAAGGTTCCTTCTTTAAATGGATACTAGAAATATTTCCTTTTAAATAGTGGTAGACAGGTAGAATATGATCTAAAAGGAGGTGTATACAGTGGTATACAGGTGGAATATGATCTAAGAGGTGGTGGTTAATACAGTGGTAGACTGGTGGAATATGATCTAAAACACGTCGTTTAGAAACACCGGTTTTAGTGGACAGAGATTACAGATAAAGTTCTAGCTCAGAGTAGGTTACGAAACAGTAATGACAGCTTACCTGTAGAGAGAGTCGCTTGCTCCTTGAAAGAATCCTGTGGTGGTGTCCGCGAAGTTGCCTAACACGTTGCTGTTCGTAGCTGTGCTGCCCGTTGAGCTCAGCGGTGTGAACAGACTGTTGCTAGGGGTGATGTCTGTCAGGGAATTGAAGAAGGGAAAAGCACTGTTGCTCGAGGTGCTTCCTGTTAGAGAGTTAAAGGAGGGAAAAATGCTGTTGCCGTTTGGTGTGGGAAACTGGTTCAACAGACTGTCGAGGAAGGTTTGGTCCTGTTGTGGGCGGGACTCACAGACGCATGCCCACACGCCCACTGCCACCACTGCTGTCAGCACCCGAGCTCCACTGACCTGCATCTGTGGAGTAAAACATTAGGCTGGGGAAAGTGCTCGAGTCTTTGTTTGGAGCCTCACTTGACCGACCCATCTGTAGATGGTGGTGATGCTAATGATGGGGGGTTGGTTGTTGTTGATTGTGGTCAATGTGGCTGTGATTGTTATTGCTTGTGTCACATGTATGGAGGACTCGTGCAATGAAACTATGAAAATAATAATTTAATAGTAATAATTTTAATATTGTTATTATTAAGAATAGTGGTAACAGGATTCATAAGTAGATATTGCGCGCGCAAACACACACACACACACACACACACACACACACTCACACACACACACACACACACCACACACCACACACACACACACACACACACACACACACACACACACACACACACAAGCACTAAACTACAGACCAATGTCACTAACATGTATAGTATGCAAAATCATGGAGAAGATTATCAGAAGAGTGGTGGAGCACCTAGAGAGGAATGAGCTTATCGACGACAACCAGCACGGTTTCAGGGACGGGAAATCCCATATCACAAACAGAAGTAAGACAAGAGAGAGAGGGGTGGGTAGACTGCATTTTCTTGGACTGTAAGAAGGCGTTTGATACAGCTCCACACAGGAGATTAGTGCAAAAGCTGGAGAACCAGGAAGAGATAACAGGGAAGGTATTGCAGTGGATGGGAATACCTGTCGGGAAGACATCAGCGAGTCATGGTACGTGGCGAGGCGTCAGAGTGGGTGCCTGTGAAGAGTGGGGTTCCACAGGGGTCAGCCCTAGGACCGGTGCTGTTTTTGGTGCATGTGAACGACATGATAGAAGGAATAGACTCAGAAGTGTCCCTGTTTGCAGATGATGTGAAGCTGATGAGAAAAATTCAGTCGGACAAGGACCAGGCGGAACTACAAAGGGATCTGGACAGGCTGCAGGTCTGGTCCGGAAACTGATCCCTGGAGTTCAACCCCACCAAGTGCAAAGTCGTGAAGATTGGGGAAGGGCAAAGAGGACCTCAGACGGAGTATGTAGCACCAGTTTAGAACCCATACGTAGCCAAACATGTAAGGAAATTGGAGAAAGTGCAAATGTTTGCAACAAGACTAGTCCTCCCGGAGCTAAGGGGTATGTCCTACGAGGAGAGGTTAATGGAAATCGACCTGACAACGCTGGAGGACCGGAGAGACAGGGGGGATGTGATAACGATATATAAAATACTGAGATGAATTGACAAAGATGGGACACAGCAACAAGGGGTCACAATTGGAAGTTCAAGATTCAGATGAGTCACAGGAATGTTAGAAAGTCTTTCCTCAGCCATAGAGTTGTCAGGAAGTGGAATAGACTGAAAAGTGATGTAGTGGAGGCAGGAACCATACATAACTTTAAGCAGATGTATGATAAAGCTCATAGAGCAGGGAGGAGGACCTAGTAGCAACCAGCGAAGAGGCGGGCCCAGGAGCTATGACTCGACCCCTGCCACCACACACACTCATCCATCAAACAACTTCCCATCTACAAAACAAACATAACACTGGCCATTTTCGTCTGAGTTTGCCTCTTTTAGATTATTTTTTTAAGCTTATCGTCTTACAAGACGCACAAACACGCAGTTTTAAACACCTCGTCTTATAAGACGCACACACACACACGCAGTGTTAAACAACTCTTCTTGCAAGACGCACACACGGAACACAATCGTCTCATCTTAGAAAATCAGCGCACGAGATACCCATGAACTTCCCATCTTACAAGATGCACTTCAAGTAAGTTCCGATATTTCATGGGATGCACACAAACTCGTAAATAAATCACTTCAGGAGTTGCAAGATGCAGGCATGCACATATCCAGCGAGCTCTCCCTGGTGTAAGGTTGCATAACTTGGACTCTGCCACGAGTGAGCCAGCTCACTGCTAGCTTGCTCGCCCACTGATTTGGCCCCTGGTTCAGTGACTCACTAGTTGCTGCTGGTCCGTCCTCCAGGTCACCCTCTCTCTTCTTTTGCTGCTCCTAGCATATTGTTTCTAAACATGTGCTCAGTGAGATACAGAAATTGACAGGTCGATGAGGGGGAAGGGAGAGAGAGTGAGAGGGAAGGAGGGAGGAAGGCAGCGAGAGAGTAGTAAGTAGGGAGGGAGTGTTCGAGAGAGAAGGGGACATTGGATCCCACACACCTCTGGCCTGCCTACCTTTCACTTGAGGAGTCCAACGTCAAATGTAACTTTCAGCAACCTGGAACCTCCTTATATATTGTGCATTGTCCGTCACCAGCAACCACGACGCCAACTCACACTACAACGCCACCAATTACGACGCCACCACCATGCACCACACCACCACCAGTTACGACTTCACCAGCAGGCGCCAGCACCAGTTACGACGCCAGCACCAGCCACGACGCCACACCACACGACGCCACGACACGCCATCACCAGCCACGACGCCACCATTAACTGTGACGCCATCAATGTCATATTTTGTGCGAGAGGACACAGGACATCGTCTCATGTTATAAATTGTATACAGTATCGACAAGTTGATGAGTAAGACATATGTACAGTAATTAGATATCTTTACTGGAGACACAAAGGTGAATACAAAACTGGAGACACGGAAAAAATACAGGTAATTTTGAGGTGAACAGTTTCGTGGCCTTGATAGGACAGTGTCTCTTGATGCGAGTTAAAAAAATGACTCGTAATTGGTTAACCATCAGTTGGTCTACCAGAGAGAGATCGTATACAAAGATTAAGACAGCTATCACCGAAACGATTCGCCACGAGTAACCCTCTTCAGTCCTAATACAGTCAGCTAGAACAAGTAGTATATATCATGCAAGGTGTTAGGTGTATAATGGAAAACAAGAGGTAGTATAAGAATGAGGCCGGAGGCCTCATTCTTATACTACCGCCTTAAAATTAGGCGGCAGGACCAATACGAGTATACTGTATATAAGCTGGAGAAGGAATTGCGTAGTATGGACCAGTAGGCCTACTGCAGCGTTCCTCTGTGTAATGTATATCAGAGGGAACTATCACTGTTGGATAACAATTGTTTGGCGCCGTATGGATTACCAGTTTTGTTTCATTCCACTTCAAGATGTGTCCCCGTGGTGTTTTGTGTTGAACACAGGCATTTTTCTGGTCTTTTCGCCTACAAGAATGCTTATGTTGCAAACTCTGAAGTAGAAATACCTGTATGCATATATTTAGTTTTAACTAAGTTTGTAATAGAGGTCGAGGCTTTGGCAACTACTTTCCAGTGGCTGACATTACTAAGTATACTTTAGAATCCACACTGTAGACTGGCAGGACAATGTATTTGGCAGGTGGGCTTGTTGTATTGTCGAGGATGAAGTGGGGAGTGAAGTAGCATGAAGGACTGTATAACGTACTCACACTCCTCAAGGCATTATGTGCTGGAAATTCAAAAGCCGCTGAAAGAAAAGTCTTACCACAACACCTCTCTTGGTCATGTTGTGATGGGAATAAAAAAGTATTGAAGATTAGGACACATGTTCAACAGTTGGGTATCAACTATTTCACATGTGTCTTAATCTTCAGCTCGTTCGTATTTTATACCATTTTAAAAAGGTATTGAGTCATTTTTGCGTATTGGCTTCCAGTAAACAACTGTGAGCCAGAGTCTGTGTCCTGGCTCCACATGACAGAAAGTAATGGAAAAGAGTCAGTCTCATTTTTCCATTGATGCTGTGGTTGGTATTCGGGTAGGTGTCTGCCTACCTGGAGTCAACCTGGAGGTTGTTCCAAGGGTCAACAATCCCGCGGCCCAGTCCTTGACCAGGCCTCCTGGTGGATCAGGGCCTGATCAACCAGGCTGTTAGTACTGTCCGTACGTAATTTAACGTATGAAGCACAGCCCGGCTGACCGAGTGCTGACTTTACGTATCTGAAAGCAGCAGAGGTTCATTGGTAATTCCCCTTATACCTGGTGGGAGGCTGTTGAACAGTCTTTTGCCCCGGACACTTATTGTGTCCGGGGAGTATATTACACCGTTAGTTTCATGGCGAGACATATATTGTTATACATATTATGATCTCTGAGGAGAGAGAGAGAGAGAGAGAGAGAGAGAGAGAGTATCGGGTGGCCCAGGGAGGGCAGTAATGTGTGGGCTCTTGGGAAAGTGTCCTCATGGAGTACTGAGATATTCTCGTGGCAACAAGTGTCCTTATTAAATATCGTACTCGCCTCTGTGCCCAACTTGTGGGTATGACACTGCCAGTTTAACATGCAGTTTCTCACTGTCTCCTGGAATGAAGTTGGGTCCTTTACTTTGTTAGACGAGCTCTTGGTGGGGTGGAAGGAGGAGGAGGAAGAGAAGGAGGAGGAGGAGGAGGAGGAGGAGGAGGAGGAGGAGGACGAGGAGGAGGATGAGGACGAGGAGGAGGACGAGGAGGAGGACGAGGAAAGGCATAAGAGGGATGGCAGACAAAACGCAAAGAAGAGAAGGATAGGCAGAGCTAGTATGAAAGAGGATTGGCAGAGCATAAGACGGAAGGAACAGAGGATGGAAGGAAAGGAGAATGAGAGAAAGGGAGAGCGTATGGAGGGTTCCCTCCCTCCCCCTTCATCTTCCCTTCTGTTTTTATTCACTCTGGTTTTCCCGAAGTCTCTCCATTCCTCCCTTTCACCCCACTTCCGGCTCATTTGCCTTCCTCACTTCTCTCCTCCATCCTTACTTTTCTTTCTCTGTATCCTCCTCTGTCTCTCTAGTTTTTTCCCTCTACATCTCTCCCCACCTCGGCTTACCATCACTACCTCTTCTCTCCCTCCACTCTTATTTTTCCTGCTCCCATATCCTTTCCCATCCCTTTCTTCCACCATCCATTTCCTTTCCTTCTCTTCCCTCCCTTCTTTCCCTCTTCTACCCCTACCTTCACTGTTCTTCTCTAGACCCTCCCTAAAGCCTTTCTCCTCTCTTTTCCCACCCCTTCTTTTTTACTCTCCTTTGTTTTATCTGTAATGGAGTTCCAGCCCAGTGAGTGTGAAGTGCCGGAGATGACATCAGGAGACCATAACACAACAAAGCTCAGATTTTTTAACATCGACACACGGATACATTGTACTCGACACCTGAATACTGTCAGCAGCTACTGTAGTTTCTGTTACAGGACTGCAGTGTTTTCTAACACAGGACTGCAGTGTTTTCTAACACAGGACTGCAGTGTTTTCTAACACAGGACTGCAGTGTTTTCTAACACAGGACTGCAGTGTTTTCTAACACAGGACTGCAGTGTTTCTAACCCATAGGACTGCAGTGATTTTAACACAGGATGCAGTGTTTTCTACACAACAGAGAGATTGGACCAGATACGTCGAATAATAACTGCATTGGGATCAAAAGACTAGGGCCTATGGCCGGTTAGTGGTACTGACAGTTTTCTTGGGCCCCAGAAACAGCCTAGTTGATCAGCGGCTGTCCACGTGGACTGCGCGGCCTGGTGATGGACCGGGCCGCGGGGGCGTTGATCCCCGGAATAACCTCCAGGTAACCTCCAGGTAACAGTACTGGAGAGTTTTCTTGCACAGTACTGGAGAGTTTTCTTGCACAGTACTAGGAGAGTTTTCTTGCACAGTACTGGAGGTTTTCTTGCACAGTACTGGGGAGTTTTCTTGCACAGTACTGGAGAGTTTTCTTGCACAGTACTGGAGAGTTTTCTTGCACAGTACTGGAGAGTTTTCTTGCACAGTACTGGAGAGTTTTCTTGCACAGTACTGGAGAGTTTTCTTGCACAGTACTGGAGAGTTTTCTTGCACAGTACTGGAGAGTTTTCTTGCACAGTACTGGAGAGTTTTCTTGCACAGTACTAGAGAGTTTTCTTGCACAACAGTACAATGAGAGTTTTCTTGCACAGTACTGGAGAGTTTTCTTGCACAGTACTAGAGAGTTTTCTTGCACAGTACTGGAGAGTTTTCTTGCACAGTACTGGAGAGTTTTCTTGCACAGTACTGGAGAGTTTTCTTGCACAGTACTGGAGAGTTTTCTTGCACAGTACTGGAGTGTTTTCTAACACATTTTTCTTTCGATGTGACCCACAACAGTATGCTAACAGACAGGTATCTACTTTTGAGTTTTCCTTCTCCAGTAGCCCGGTCCTGGGCCAAGCTTGCCTGGTTAACCAGATTGTTGCTGCTGGTGGCTCGCTGGCCCACATATATTTCAAAGCCTAGTTGATTATGCACTTTGCGTAGATACATTTCCGATCTCCTGGTTTGAAAAGTATCCCCACTGGCATTATTTCCTTGGTTCTGAAGCTTCTCATTATCCACTCGATCATTTTCCTTGCCGTCGCTACATTTACCCAATTGTCTTTTTAAAGCTGACATTATTACTCCCAAGTCCTTCACATGTTCCTTTTTTCTATTGATGATCCTCTTGGGTTTCGTAAAGTGTCCCTTTTCAGTTTTTGATTCTTTCGCTATCTAAGCAGTAGGAACTTTGCAATATCTTGGACAGCTTTATGTTCCCATTGTACTTCTTCTATTTGATACGAACACTTAAGGTTTTGTTCTAACTCGGTAATTTCTCGACAAAGATTCTTTTTCCTTCGTTGTAACATTCACATTATTAGGCACGTAAAGAAACTGGAAAAAGCCCAGATGTTTGCAACCAGTCTAGTACAAGAACCAAAAGGAATGGATTATGTGGAGAGGTTGAGAGAATGAACTTGATGACCTTAGAGGAGAGAAGGACAAATGGGGATATGATTACTATATACAAAATCTTGAGAGGCATTGATAGGGCTGATATGGACAGCTTGTCTGAATTAAGAGGACCATGATCAATCGGACACAGATGGAAGATGAAGCTAGATGAGCCATAGGGTTGTAAGGAAGTATTTTTTTTAGTCTCAGGATATTTGTAAAAGTGGAAGGATTTGGATGAGGCAGTGGGGAAGTTACTGATGCCAATCAAGGAAGTCGTTGAGAGGTGTGTACATCTCTTCTTTTTTTAACCCAAAGAAACTAACGAAGCCGTCACTCAGTGGAAACTGCTGCTACTTGCAATAATGCAGCAGCAGCAGCTTTCACACCCTTCAACATCAAAGCAGCCAGCAGGAAAGTGCCACCACGAAATACCATATTTTAAACTCGCACCTGC